AAATCGATAGTATTTTATGGAAATATTATATATAATTCAGGACAAAATACCAGACAATAAATAAACATATTTTTTGGATATATTTGCCTCAAATTTAACGACACAAACACACATTGAATCCATTAATACCTTGAATTGCGGCAAAATTTTGATTAGATTTTCATTAATTCTGTATTTTTGTTGTTGAAAATTATTTATTACTTTCTTAATAAAAACCAATAAAATATCGTTTGAAAAAATACATATAAAAAATGCATTTTTGTTTAATTTATTAAATTTTACACAAATTTTATGCACTCTCTGTATAGTGTACTGTACAGTGAAGTGTGAGTTCATTAAAAGTTTAATGCAAACAATTTTTGTTGTAATTAATTTGAATTCAAAAAATTATAACACGATTTCAATTCGGAGAGCAATTAATATTCAATTTATGCCCGAAAGACTAGTTTTAGTGAATTAAAGGTTTGGATTTTTAATTAGAGTTAATTAAATAGATTTATTCGTATGTAAACTGTTTTCTCATTTTGTTAATTAAGTGTCTTTTTTTCGGACGGGTTTTTAAACTCGGGATAAAATATATTAAACCAAAAAGTGTGTTAACCGTCCCTTCAGTCCCGTCGGCTCTCAAAACACTTATTTAGATAGAGATATAAAGTATATAACCATTCAATTGATTAGAAGTCGTAAACTAACGACACATGCATTTTATCATTTGGCAAATCAGACAAAATATCACGACTTTTAAAGTAAAGATATTTTACGAGTTTTTAAATATTCATTTAAAAAGTCGGAAATAGAAATGATTTTCCATTCAAACTGTGCTTTTCTGATGACTTATTTACATATATTGAAAACCATTATATTTCAAATTCATTGCAATTGTATAATAGTATAGTTTTAATATCATATAGGATAATATTTTGAATGATTTTTTCTCTTTTACTCGTAAAACATGACATCTAAACGTAAAAACGATAGTTTTTTATGGAGAAAATACTGGTAATAAAAAAATCAAATTTATAATTCATGAATACATTGGAATTAATTTACAATCAAATGTCATGAAAAAATCAAAACAAGAAAACTATTGCTAATAATTGATTCAATACTTAATTTACACAACAATATAACAGAAACCAATTTACAAAAGGGATACTGAAAATCAATGTTTAAAATATGAATTTATTATAACGAGAGAAATGTAATCAAAGTTCAAAAAGTGAAAATAAAATGCAATTTTTTAATCGTTCAGTCATTCATTGTTATCAGGATTTGTGTTTAAACTCAGTAAAACTTACGATTTAAACACTTAAATGAGATAATTATATAATCAATTAGAAAATTATTTGATATCTTATTTAAAGCAATTATCGTTTTATTCTTCTTAACTGCTAATTGTTTGGACACTTTTTTCCTCAAAGAGTATTTTATTTTTCATATTCTTCTAATCATATATTTATTATTTTATTTTTTCATAAAATCAATATTTTATAGCAAAATAAATTAAATAATGGATTGCAATAAATTCTGGCTTAATATTCAATAACTGTTAAAATACAAGTAAAAGTATTTATTTTTATTTGCTTTAATTAACACAAATTCTACGCAATTATATACATTATATACATCTATAACAGCTAAATTTTAAATCTAATTTTGTCATTAATTTAGTGATAAAATATAACGATTATTATTACCGTCATTAATATGAAGTGTTTTTATATGCTTTCATTTTATAACAGTTAATATACTTTAGATTAGATATTTAAAGGCAAAAATCTTTAATTTAAAAATTACTACCGGTTTTGTCATTACAATGAATTAAATGGATTGTTTGCAACTATAATATCAAACTTAATAAATCTATTTTAGTTTTGTTTTTGATATTTAAGTGTTTTAGAGTTTGATTTAAATTTAGTTTAGTTTATATCTTTCATTGAATAACAAATTAATGTAAATTATTTTCATTAAATCTTATAAATATTGCTTTTTTATAATACTGTACAATATTTTCAATAATAATTATTATTTTTCGATAACAACAATATTTATAACAAATTAATCTAACTTTTAATACATAAATCAAACTGTTGTTAAATAAAGTGTAAATATTATTGACTTATTTGAGAATTGAATTGTTGATAGAAAAACAGATAATTAGTTAAAGAGATTTAAAGCATTTGAAAGCCATTCACCATTTTGTTGATCACACAATGTATTACATGATTGAGTATTAATGGTCTCACAATTATAATCAATGCAAACATTTCGGTTGGTTTTGGAGAAGAAGTCGGTATTAATTGGGTTTATAGTATACAAGTCCTGCAATTTACTCATTAATCGCAAAAATCGCGATTCGGACTCACTTTTCGAGTTATACTTTAACTCCAGATATCTCTGAAGTAAATACATGTATGTCTTCTGTTGAAACCTTATGTAAAAACAGTTTTAGATTATTGTTAAGATATATAATTTAGTTAACTATAATAAAATATTTATAATAGTGAGTGAATTGGTATAGAAATACCTAGTCTAGAAATACTAAACCTAATTACTCATGATAACGACAATTGATAATCTAGTTAATTTTTCATCACTTAATTGATTATATAAAATAAAATGTAAATAAATTAATTGTATACCAAATCTATGAGATTAATATCGGAATTCAATTCTTCACTCATTGATAGCATAAAATTTCTGTGAGACTCATATAGACCTCCGTTTCCCCACTTCAAAGCATTCACACTTAATTTAGTTGCGTTTTGTGTGTCCTGTAATGTAATGTTTGTACACATTATAAGTTGTTTTACTAATTAATCAATGATTTAAAACATCATACGATGGGAATCGTCCAAAACTCGCCGTCAGATTTAAAATTAATTATATTTATGAGAGGAATGATTGGATAAAAGCCGGACCTCAACAAAGACTTCTTGTCCTCTTTACACAAACACGAGAATCCATTGAAAATTGACGACATTTTTATAATTCGTCGGCATTTTAGTTGACATCTCATCCGCAAAATACTGACAGTCGACTCGAATGTCTTCGTCTCGGATGTAACGCTAAGCACCGGGTCTTTCATTACTGCCATTGATGTCAATAATTCGCGAAATGTTTTAATTTCTAATTCATTGAACGCAAAGAGAAGGCCAGTGATGAGGGCCGGCATTCTGGCCGTGCGTTCGCTCGACAGCACATCTTTAGCAACAATCTTGCGCTTAATGTTATCGCTATTGAACTGATCGGAAGTCACTTCAAGCCAACGTCTTTTCCGATTCCTTCTCGCATATCGGCCTTCATTTGACAGTTCCTTACGATATGAACACCAAATATATTAATTATTTTGTAAATCAAATGTGAAAACACTCACTAATTTCATGCCAACGAACAGGCATTTCTCGATTCGACACTTTTTGCACAATTTTCTGGTCAAACAGTTTATATAACACGAATTCTCTACTAAACACCGGAATTCCTGATGTGATTAAAGTTATGAAATTAAAATCAAACAATTGATTGTTGTTTTATATATGAAATACTTTTATACCTTAATTCTGGACACATTTCGTCTAAAGAAGAATCGACACGATTCACACGTCAGGGCATTGAAATTGTATCCTAAATGTGCATTTTATTCATTGTATATTTGTTTTAATACACGATAATGTTTTGTTAATTATTATTTAATTGAAATAAATTACCGATCGCTCGATCGCCACAAACTCGACAAACCTTTTCATTCATTTGCATTACTATTAGTTCAATATTAATAGTAATTTGTATACAATTTTAATAAAGAATTCAATTCAAACATTTTTACATATCAAGAATTATGTAAAATGTTGATATAATTACTGATAATAAGATCTTAGATCATACATACAATACATAATAAGCACATGACTTAAAGAATCCATAGAAACGAATAGAAAAAGCAACAACTATTGAAAGTATATTTAATTTATTGATATTACTGTATACAGTAAGTACTATTTGAGTTCACGAGTTACTTTTTTTAATCAATTTTTCATAATACAGTATATTATATAGTTAGTGCATGTCTAATTTGTACTAATTTTTATACAATTAACATAATGGCAATAATTAAGTGAATTTATTCATGAATTACATAAATAAGTCAATAAAATATTTAAATGTATTTTAAATAACTCTAAACTAATTGATTAAAAGCACATATTCTGATCATTTCTTATTCAAAGAGAAATAAAAGTCAAATTATGGCAAATATAAAAATATTTATAGAAATAAAAAGTTTATTTAAGAATATTCTGATATTATATGAAAGCTAATAAAGATATTAAATACAATGCAAAACACTATTTGACAAAAAACAACTAAAAAGTTGACAAAAAACCGATTCGACTGTATGTTTGGTCGCGTTCTCAGTCCTGTTAAACACTGACCTTTCATTAGTTAACAACTTATTTAAGACAGATATTCACCCAATTTTATAAAGCCATGCGAGCGACCAGTTTTGACTCTTTCTGGTCAATGATGGACAGGTCAGGGGTGACCACAAGTGGCAAAACCACACTAATAGCTCTTTCTCTATCATTTCTCATCCGCTCTACAATTTAATCCAATTTACAATTATTTATTATAACTAATTATAAACTAAACCTAATATTAGATGCTTTGAAAAAGGGTTAAAGTTTCAATAATAGTATATATTTGAGACAATAGACGGCAATACACCACACATTATATTTATTGCACACTTCTCTTCATATATACCGTACTTTAATGGAGTGCAGTATTTGTCCCCCATTTCTCACTCCTGTTACAGGAGTCCTGTATGTGTGAGCACAAGTTGACCATCACTTTAGGAGTTGTTCGCAAACTAAGTGACGCCTATTTCCCCCATTTGTGTACATTTATATGAAAATAAGCGCTAAACTCGTTGTGAACCACACGTGAAGTAGACGTCAAACTGGAAGCGATTATCACTTGAATGTTGTGGTAATCAATCAGATATGAAACGCCGATCCGTCGCCTCAACCAGTGGTGCATCGGTTGGCCGTCGCGGACGACCGGCGAAGACCGCCACCAGTGATACAGCGGTCGGACGTCGAGGAAAGGCGTCGACAGCCGCTACCAGTGATGGATCCGCTAGTCTTAACGAACAGTCATCGACGGTTTCATCCACTGATGGATCCGTTGGCCGCCTCCGTAAGTCATTGAAGACCGAAACCCGTGAGGGGACAATTGGCCGCCGCGCAAAGTCAGCGAAGGCCTCAACCAGTGATGGATCCGTTGGCCGTCGAGGGATGTCATCGAAGGCCTCGACCAGTGATGGATCCGTTGGCCGTCGAGGGAAGTCATCGAAGGCCTCGACCAGTGGTGGATCCGTTAGCCGTCGCGCGAAGTCATCGAAAGCTTCAACCAGTGATGTGTCGGTTGTCCGTCGCGGGCGTCGGCCCAACAACAAGATGTCAACTGTGATCACCAAAAAGTTTGTTTTACTAATTGATTGATTGATAATTGAATTGACATTTAATTAGCATTTGTTTTACGAATAGAGAGAAGAAAGCGTTTTACGATTTGTTGTGCGAAAAGGGCTTCAGTTGTCTCAAGAATGAAGAGCTCTTAACACAGACTTTACCCAACCGTACAATCAATGAAATCAAGTAATTATTATTGCATTTAATTATAAACAGCAAAACATGTCATTCACTCAAATTGATTACATTTTAGTATTTATTATTTGAAAAGTATTTGTGACTCAAATGATTGATTTTTGATTTGATTTGTGTCTTATTTATAGCGCAATGATTGACAACTATAGCCGTAAAGGACAGGACTCGGACACGAGTGACGGTAAACAGCCAATCGAGACGTGGTTTGAATTAATACATCAAACCATTCCCAACGCCACTAAAAAGGATGATTTGTCGGCCGTTTTAGTCGACATATTAAGCGAAATGAGTGCCAAAGGATTGGCCACTAATGGCTCCGATGGCGATGAAGAAGCAACTGATTCAGACTTAAAGCCCG